CTGCTCTCTGCCCTCCAGGACTGAACTCCGCCTCACCTTGTCAGTGCTCATCCGAGGACAAGGGCTGTGCTCCCTGTCACACATGCTGGAGTCCTGCCAGCCAGGATGCTGGAGTCCACTCCGGAGAGGCAGAAGAAGGTCGGAAGGGAGGAAGCATGTTCTTCCATAGGCTGTCTCCCTGCCCTTCAAGTCCTGCATGCTGCCATGGGAATGAACTTCCTTCCAGAACACGCACAATTCGTCTGCATGCTTCCATGCATAGCAGGGAGACACACACCTCACATGCTCAGATGCTCCCTGTGTATTTCCCGGGGCTCTAAAGACCTCTGTGCTTCCCTAGTGACTTTCACACAAAGTGACCCAAACTACCTGTTAAACTGAGCACAGAACAGCAGTAGAGTTCCCTAAGAAGTCAGGACACCCATCTTTAACTAACCTTTGCAGAGAATCTAGGTGTATCTGCATGTCTGTATAGAGTAGGACACACTAGGCAGCTATACACATCCCCCTTTAAACTTGATATCATGTGACCTTCAGTAATGAAAGGTCAATCAAATTTAACCTGAATACTTTCCAAACTAATTGCTCTTTAATATAATGCAATCAGGATTCAAAGAAACAGCTTTCAGTTATTAGCAAAGAGGGGCCAGCCAATTCATTTTCCTCATCTGTTGCTAGCATTCCTGGAGTTTACAAGAATCATGTTTGATGAGAAGAACCAGCAAAATCAGGAGTTCAGTGCGGCTTATTGTCCCTTCAAATAGTTTTCCACTAATTAAGCAAGAAGTTTTATCCCATCTGGGTATACTGTGATGTGGAAGTACAAAAAGAGGAGGGTAGAAAAGAGAGCGAGATTGCATCTTAAAAAAATAAACTGCCAAAGGTTATTGTCAAAATAATTTTTCATTTTATTTAACAGGATGACTCTAATATACACATTTGCTTAATGAACAGAGTGTAAAATATTTATTTCCATCTTCCTTTTGGTCTAGCTGCTAGTAAATCTGAACATGAATGATGAACTTGCTTTACCTTAAGAACATGGCTGTGCTTAGCTGATTTCGTGTGTCTAGGGATCAACTAATTTCCTGGATGCCCCCAAGCCTGCTGGGCGAGAGCTAGCAGCAAGCCCCACACCGCAATTAGGCCAGTAGCTCACAAACACCAGTGTGCAAGTGAGATAGAAATGAATTGATCACCGCAAATGGTCATTCTCCAAGAGGTGTGTCCCTTCGTGGAAACATCCTCTTTGTGCTGGTGTGGTGCAGGTTTAGCTCTCCCCCTTTTACTAAATGAGTAAAATCAAATGTCTTTGGGAACAAGAAGACACACAGAAAACCAGTGTTCCTTTTCCACCACACATGAACTAACAGAGCTGTGGAGGGTTAAGTGGGCCAGTGCGGGGTTCAGTGACTGAAAGGGATCTACACTGCGCTGCAAATAAATGACAAAAGATTTTGCCTAAACACTGCTGCACCTTATGAATTTGGTAAAATTTGAGATATAAATTCCTTCATACGAACATATCTTTCACTGGAAGAATATAAATTACAAAAAGATGATAATACTCTAGTAATTTTTAAAAAGTATTTCATCATTAAGTTTCCAGACTGAATGCTTCACACTGGAAAAGGGCAGGATGCTGGAAGGTCAACTTGGATTAATCACTACATTAATGCCCTTGGGTTTTTTGGTACAATTGTGTGTCTGAGTTGGCAGTTCAGGGAGGCAATGGATATTTTTAGAGAAAAGGGCCCTATTTTGGGGGGTCCAATTAAATGCCATTTCCATTGACAGAGTAATAATTATTTGCTTATGGCTGACCAGGTTTCTCTCTCATGATGAAGTGCCCAGGTTGACTTAGGGGAAGGCATACCATTTACTGACAAAATGTGTTTGGAAAGATCTGTACTTCAGTTTAAACTCTGCTATTTACAAATCAGCAGATACAGAGAGAGACTCACAACTTGCCCACAAGACACAAACACACAAAGCTATGGCCGGATCCCTTAAAATAAGTTTGATGCAAAAAGCAGAAGCCAACACACATATATTTCTATTCTAATTGAGCTACACTCTGGACAGGGTACACTATGGGCTTCAGGGAAAGCTATTCTTTCAAGAGGATGTCTCACACACACAAAAATAAAATATTCAGTATTCTACACTATATTACAAAAATAAATATAATAATAAATAGTAAGAAGCCTTGAAACTTTTACATGGTCATGCTGATGTTGGGATGCCCAAGTGCCCCTGCTAGAGTTTCCCTCAAGAGTCATTAGGTTTATCAGCTTTTGCCATTAAAGCGTAAGAAACAAAAATAAAACAAGACTGGTATGGGCTGGCCATAGTGGACGATTTGTCATTACAGCAATGTATCCCTAAGTTTTAATTTCCTGATAACCTACCCATTCTGTGGCTTCAGGTTAAGGCAATGGAGTAGACGGACTGCAGGCAGCTGCTGGGAGAAGGGAGAAGAATCCTATGTATAGCTTTTGTCATTTCACTTTTTGATAAGGCAGCAAAATTCATAACAGTAATGAAAACAGCAACACTTGAATGTCCAATATGTGACTATTCAACCTTTCTACAAGACGACCATCATGAAAAATATAGATCATATTTGCACTCTAGTAAATGGAGCAACATGTGAGACACGCAGACAGCCTCAACTGTCACCTCCTTTCAACAGCTCAACTAAGTCTCTTGAGGAGCTGGCTGAGTGAGCAGCAGAGAGCATGGTGGGATACAAGAGCTGTCACCTCTCATATCAGATGTTAATGTCAGTGTTGTTCTATGGCCAGAAAGCATGCACTTCCCCAGATCTGGCTGTCATGTTTCCCTGGAGTTTGCAAGTCATTTGGCATCACACGACACATCTAAACTATTGAAATTACAGAGCTGAGCTTCTATCTACCCTAGACTGGTTGTGGAGCCATGACTAGAACCTAAGAAGAAACTATTCCTGCCAAACTGAGATTTCATTATATGTCTATGATAGTGTCCTTGAGAAAGAAGGACAGGCAGTACCGTGGAGTATGAGTATATGTGGTGTACCATGGAGTATGAAGGCTGTACCATTTCCTCAGGGGATGCTGGCATGGCTATCCAATGCCAGCTATATGTATACAGATTTGTGCATGTGCTCAAACACATGGTGTTACAAAGAGGCTATGTGGATTCTTTTTAGTTGAATATCCATCTTAGCCAACTCAATATCCTCCCTGTGTTCCTACTTATGATCAAAATATTCCCCTTTCAGGGCAGCAACAACTCTGAGATTTGCATTTTGACCAGCTAGATATATGGAGTTGAAGTTCAAATTCAGAAAATACCTTTCCTTGACAGAACAATCTGAATATATAACCAATAAGAAGTTTATGGAAAGGAAGCTAATAGCTGGCTCGAAATTAATATCTATAACCAATAGGGTAGGGTTGGGCAATGTACTATAAGCCATATTCCTGCTTCTGATGTGAATCACTGTGTCACCCATCTGCTGATGCTGGGGTGACTTAGGATCTTCCAGCTCTAGCTCCTCCTGTATAGAGTCCAGGAGTCTAACAGGAAGCTTTAGGACTGGAGCCAGGGTCTCAGTGTCCTTACAACCCACCAGATGATGGACAATAATTTCAAAATGCAAGGAGGGCAGAGTGGGAAGAATGGAAATGCTACGGGGTTCCTTACAAGACCAAGGCTGATTTCAAAGTTTAAGGTCAACATTTGAGTCACCTGCTTATGAGTCTACTAATTCATGGGTTTGGATATATTTGCTCAGACTCTAGTCTTCTTCTATTCTGTATTCTTCACAAAAATCATAGCATAAGGGATATAGCTAAATTCAGATCAAGTTAAATTTCAAGAATAAGTCTAGAAGTCAAATCACTAACTGATTTCACACTGAGTGAAAATGTTTTCAAGTGCTTCCTCCCAGCCCAGGTCATGGGTGATGAAGGGAGAGAAAAGCAAGAAAACAAGAGGCAGGATGGGCAGGAAGTTAAACAAAGGGAAGAAGGTGAAAGAAAGCAGAGGTGGCCAGCAAGAGAGGGAAGTCAGAAAATGAAGACTATTTTCAGTAGAGTCTATCAAATAGCTCCCTCCAGATAGTCCTCTTAGTCTTGGATAATTTTATTTTTGTTCAAAAAGATTTAACTATCACATTAGAATTGTGATTATTTTACCATCACACCTGAGGGCAGCATCTGTGCCCCCCCTACCTCTAAGGCTCTCTACAGTAGCAAAGGCTGGCACATGTGACCTTGCCTCCTGTTAACTGAGGGGGAGTCGGTCCTGGCATCCTCCACCCCCGTCTTTCTTGACCAGGCACTGTCCTCTGGAGTATATGGCCCAGGGGCCCTTTCTTTGCAAGTGCATCTCTGGGACCATTGCCTGTCAGGGCCATTTGCTTTGTGTATCTGACAACCCCACCCACCTCTTGAACCTGCAGTCTGCTCATCCAGCCTGCTGCTCTGAACCATGGCAGATACAACTACATTCACATTCCCAGAACTTTTGGAAGATATGCTTCTCTAGATGGTTAAACTCGTGATATGAACTTTCGTACCCCAAATCCCATATCCTATAATAAGACTTCCTGGAGGAAGCCACTCACATATATCAGTATAGTCTGACTCTGTTGGACAAAAAGATTTCCATAAGTCCATGTGCACCTGCACAAACATGCACAAATATCTATGTGTTGACACTATTTCCCTTTAGGGGCTGGTCTTTCCAAACTGACATAGAGGATAATTGGTACAGGCCTGTGTTTTGTTGTTAGAGATGGTATCACTGGGAAATGAGAGTCCAAAGAAGAAAAATGGAAGGGACTGGATTATATAGCAAAATATGCATTTTCTACAGCACACTGACCTGTCCACTTCCCTACGGTGGCAACCTCTATTATCTGTACACCTTCATTAAATAGTTTCATTAAATAAAACACAAAATATACACATTTGCAGTTATTAAATAAGCCATGGGACTCCTATCCTATCCTATCTACAGCCACATTCAGACACAGCCATTCCTTCGTATTTAAACTTGTAGGTGACAACACCTTTATCTAAATAGAGAATGGAGATAGGATCCAGCTTCGTGGGCACACAGCAGGCTTTGGAAGCTTTCTGGGAATTCTTGAGGTGGACTAAGGACTGGATAATAGCATGTTTTGTGGGTGTGAGGTGCTCTGCCAGAGGGTAGTTACAGACACCACGGCATTCGTAGGCTTCATACCCAGGTGGCGCGATGATCCAGGAGTCCCAACCAATCTCCTTAAAGTCGATGTAGAGTGAGGACTTCTTGCAGTAGTTTCCCTTGGCGTTCCTTCTGATTCGAGCAGTAGAGTCATCAATCATGTTAGACCTCATCTGCAACAAGGCCTCTTCATCAGGTCTGCTGGAAAAACCATCCATGTCTATGTCCAGGTCCAGATCTTGCTCATGAGTTATCATTTCACTCAGTTCCTCTTTGTGCTCCTTGTCATTGCTTTGGTCATCAGAAAACACAACAAGCAAAGGGTCGTGCTTGTTCTGGGCACTGATATCTATTTCCAGTTGACCCCTTCTGGTATCTTCAGCTTGGTTTTGTGTGCTCTCGATGTGGATCTCCAGCTGATGGGTAGATGGGCCTGACTTTTGCCAACGTCTGGTGGCATCCGTGACATCGAATGTCTCCCACTCACTGTTGATTCCATAGATTTCTGTTGACACCAAGACCAGCATGTTCCTTTCATCCTTGCCACCCTCGACACTCTCCAGTACTTCAAAGATGGTGATCTTCCGGTCCACACCATCATACATCACACGATCTCTTTGTACCAGTGTGTACAACCTGAGTTCGGCCATGATGACCTCTTCATGGTGAGGGATGGACACATTGAAGAGGAGAGGGTACTTCCGGATCCCATTAAAACTGACCGGTTGAGAAAACAGATCTAAAAAAGACAAATATTTATGAGAAATCAGACTCGATAGGTATGCTACAAAATAAAGCAACTATTTATTTGTGGAATAAGAAGAAAAGAAAACTTGCCCAGCCTGAGCTGCCTCCTGGGGACAGAACTGGGAATAACCTTGTCACTGCAGACAAGCCCTCTCTTTGTCCATCCAGCAATGAGCCATGATCATGGAGATTGTTCTGAACTAGCTCATGACTAAAGACTTTGAAGCTTTGTGATGGGCAGTGATCTCCATGTGGTTGGCTGGCCACTGGTCTTCGTGGAAGATCTCCATAGACCAGGGTTGTGACACTCATGCACCAAACTGGGACTGTCACATGTTGTTGGAAATAAAGTTTCACCAAAGCATAGCCCCCCTTGGGTATTGCTGGACCATGTCTGGCTAATTTTGCCCTGCAGAGGCGGAGTTAGATATGGACTATCTGGCCTTTACAGAGGAAGTTTGCTGACCCTGTCCCTACCCTACGTAACAAAGTTCAGCAAGGTCAACAGAACCTTGCTAAACTGGTTCTGGAGCATGTGGCTGTCCCTGAGTGAGTGAGAGAAGATGCATCTGGGGTGCAGGGTTGATAGATTACCTTAGTGCTATTTATTCACTAGCAGCCAGCATGGAGTTGGATACACAAACCACCCGAGATCTATATGAAATAGCTTGTTAAAGGTACTTTATTATCAGAAGCATGTCTCCAAATGATTTCATATTGCTTTTTTTTTTTTTTTGACAAGATCTGGTGTGGCCCTGGTTGGCCTATATAATTCACTGTGTAGAGCAGGCTGGTATATAACTCATTGTGTAGAGCAGGCTGCCCTGTAACTTGCAGAGTCCTCTAGTCTTTGCTCCCTGAGACACTTTGCAGGCATATGACACCATGCCAGGCCTGATACTATTTTTTAATGTGAGAATTTCACAGAGAACCAAGAGTTTCTGTGTACTCGCCTCAGATAGTTTGTCTCTACAAGGACTGAGACATTTGACATCAGAGTATCCAAGGATTATGACACCAAGATGCCAGGGATCTGCAACCAAGTGTCCTCTGTTCTCCTGGGCAACCTTTCCCCAACAGTGTACTCAACTGGTGATCTCAATGGATTCTCTGGCCCACACTATCTCAGCACCCTTCTTTAGCTGATGGCTTGATACTTACTCTCAAAAGGCTTAAAGTTTGCCCTTAAGCTGATAGCTGTGTGGGCTTTTTAAGTTTACATAAATAAAACATGTAGTTTTTTCACAGCTTCCTCTGGATGCTAAGATTATCTTCACAGTGGCAGTGGGGACACTGACTTAGGGGAGGGCCCTGAGGTCATGGGTGTGGCTGGAGCAGCTGTAACCGGGGCTTGACATTCTGATCAAGCCCTGGTTCCTGTCCATTCTCTACACAGGATGCTGCAGGTGCCCAAGGATATTTATTGATCAGTTGAATGAATACTTTATCCTATTTGACTGACAGCTTTCCCTTCGAAAACGACACACCCTCCTCTGTATTCTGTACCTTTGAGGACCTTCTTCTGATTCTTGGAAAGAAAGCCCTCCTGCATCGCTTCCCCTTCTCTACCTTGGGCCTCCCCCTCGAGACCTTGGCTCCTTTGAGTTCATCCCACTAGGGGTCACCTGTGCACTTGCTGTCTTGGAAACCCAAAGATGGGAGAGCAGGCTATTGCTCCTCCATGAGAGAAGTACAGAAAGAATGCTCTTTGGAATGGAGAAGCTTTGAGGGATCTTTACTAATTGGGGGGACCTCAGTGGATATTTACACTTGTAAACACTTAAATTATGCACATTAAATACATGCAGATTTCTATATATTAACTATACATCAATGAAGATGTGCTTTTAAAAAATAAGCTCATATTCAAGAGATTGAGACAGAAGGATTGTGAGTTTGAGACCAATCTGGGATTCATAGTAAAATATTGTATCAAAAGAAATTGTTTACAGTGTTTTAAATTTAAATGTGAATATTTCATGGCCAGCCTGGGCTACATGTGGTGAGTTCAAAGCCAGCTTAAAACAAAACAAAGCAGCACACACACACACACACACACACACACACACACACACACAAACCTTTAACTAAATAAAACCACATACAGTTCTTTGTATATGTGATAAGAGATCCATAGAAAAGTCACATTTTAGAGCAAGAGAATTAAGTCTGACAGATTTCACATGTCAATTGCTCTGCAAATTGTGTGACTGTCATAATGACGCCCACAATGCATACATGGATCTGATGCTAGTTCTGCACCAGAAGAAACCAAGCCTCCATGTATAGATCTGACTTCCTAGACAATACAGAGGATGGAACCAAGCTGAGAATTGAAGCCACGTTTTCCACCTTGCATGTGACACCCATTCAAAGATGAATTAGGTTTGGAGTACTCTTGGTCTTTGCCTCCTAGCTCATGTCACTGAGCAAACACAAAAGATGTATAGATGGATGACAACAGCCAACAGGGAGAGCCTGGTGAGGGGGACACATGTCCTCTGCTATATGAGTCTTCCTCTAGATTGTATAAGTGCAAGGGGGTGAATGGCTAGGTGTCCCCAAGTCTGATCTTCCCCCAGTAGTGGTAAGCTTGCTCACATTCTCACCTTTATCACCTGCTCTTCCATGTGAGGAGCACGAAATAAGAGTGGAATAATTCATTTCCACCAAGCCTGAGCTAGACCACATTCCCACTGTACCTGAGCTAGACCACATTCCCCTGTGCCTGAGCTAGACTGCATTCCCCCTGTGTCTGAGATAGACTGCATTCCCCCTGTGTCTGAGCTAGACTGAATTCTCCCTGTGTGTGAGCTAGACTGAATTCTCTCTGTGTGTGAGCTAGACCACATTCCCCCTGTGCCTGAGCTAGACCACATACCCCCTGTGTCTGAGCTAGACTGCATTCCCAACATGCCTAAGCTGGATCATGGCTCAGAGGAGGATGCTGAGACAGGCTCCTTCAGGAGGTTGCTCTTTCCCTCTTAGACTTGCCTTCAAAGGAATCTGAAATCTCTGCTTGCAGTTTCCACCAGAAATATGCTAGTAAATAGAAATGGTGGTGACCAGCTGAATTTTAAAAGCAAACACTATCTTGGTGTCTGAGGAATAACCATTCAGAGTTTACTCTAGCACCTAGAATATTAAGCAATTCATTAAAAGTCATCATGGTTTGCCCAGCACCTCCTAACAACAAGCCTTCTCTTGCCTCTAGCTGCTTGTGATTCACTTATCTGTGTCACAGAGTTTTACAGGGGGAAATTGGGGCTCCCATCCCTTAGTCACATCTTCCCAAGGCAGCTAGCTCTCAGCACTCCTGAGCTGTTTCATGATACCGCCTTCTGCTTCCAAGAGCATCTGGCAAACCTTGATCAAACCTCGTTTTTACTGGCCCAGTGTCTACGGAAGCACAATTGGTAAATAAACAATAAAGAGCCAGTTTCTCTATATCCACAGCCTCTATCATCAATATCATATTTTTTTCTACTAGTACCATATGAAGAAAGGGTTAGTTTGCTGACTCAATTAAAGATCTGAGGGGTAGGAATCTCAATTTGAAATTTGTACATCACTCTTCATAAAGTCACAGTCACAATAAGCTGGACTGTTAGCTGGGTCCTGTGCACTTCCTGGGGTCTTATCATGGCTCATTAAACACAAAGCAGCATTAGAAGAATCTTTCAAATGCAGTCCCCACTCTATCAGAACACTGCTTAAATAAAGTCACAATCGGAAACTCACCCAGAGTTTGGATGAAGCACAAACCCCACATTTCTAATTTCTTTTTATTGTTTTTACCATTTTTGATCTATGGAAAAGTTGGCAAATTGGCAAATTTTTATCAACCCCAGATAGAAATCAAGTTTTGTTTAGAAAGTAGCAGACAAGACAGAGCAACAGATCAACATTTATGGGTTTTTTTTTTTTTGATACTTAGTGTTCAGATTTTTTTGATACTTAGTGTCCACTATCAAGAACTGGTTCTTATGCTGGAATTTCTGGAATGAACCTTTTCTGATGCTGGAATGAACCATGGACATTTTGCGTTTTTTCGTTAATAGACATTTTATAGCGTTTTTGAAGTAGAACAGTTGATGTGCTGTGTCTGAGCCATGCATGTCCATGAGTTCATCCTCTCCCACGTGGATGTTTACTAATTGCTTCTTGAGAAAAAGCAAAGCCAAGGTTTCATAGGTGAAAACACAAGCCAGCTTACCTTCGTTCTTGAAGCTCCGGATGATGTTAGCAGATGGCATGGAGGTCCGGTCCGTGGCGAATTTGTTGTAGAGTTCTAGCATGTACTCTGGAGGATCCACTTTGGCTGTGTCCTGCTGGGGAATGTCGGACAGGTTCAACGTCTTGAGAAACTCATCCTTCATACTCTGTAGCAGTGTGTTGAAGTCCATACCGTCTTGCTCTGTGAAGATGTCGTCGAAGAAGGGCATGTCTTCTTCCAGGGGTGACTGCTCAAGGCCCATGATGGGGCTGCCTGAAACCGAGCAAGCCATCAGGCAGAAGACAGCGCTCAGCTGCAGGACCAGAGAACCCATGACTCTACTCAGCTCCCCAGCTCAACCTAGGAAGGTTTAACTCCTCTGGGCTCTAAGTGGCGGTTTTATCTTGTGGAGTGTAAATGTCTTATGTCACTGGACACGACACAAGTATGAAAACGCTTCCTCTTCTTCCCCTCCCCCTGCACTACTCCCCACCCCCCCGCCAAAAGTCAGGTTGCAGTAATTGGATAGCAAAATCCCCTATAGGGCCTAGCCTTTTCTTATCTCCCCAGTGTAAACTTGTACACCAGATTTCATTTTTATCTTGCAACCCCTTTTTCTTTTAATGAGCATTTTGTAAACACTTCCACATTCTGACACTGGTGAAGGATAAGACAATTTTCTCTTCACAAAGGCTCTGCTACTCTTTCTTTCACTTGACTTCCTTTTGGTAGGAATGTCTGGATTCTGGCCTTATGAGATTCAGTTTTGCACGTGTGTATGGCAGATATTAAGAGTCAACAGAATGCACTCAGTGGTGATGCATATTGATTCAAATGATAGGGATGTTCATATCTAAAGATGGACTAAATATCCAATGACTTCAAGTTAAGTAGATGTAAATGACTCAGAAACAAATTTTGAAGCATTTGCTTCTAGAAACAGGAAAGACTAAGAGTCACAGTCATTTTTCTACAGACTCGATCAGGCTGAAGTAAAGCCAGCACCAGATTATAATGAGGTTTGAGTGTAACATTGTGAGGAGCTTTGCAAAATCACATAATGTGTTTCATCTAATAACCCTGTTTTTATTCCTGTCATGTTCATGGGCTCCTGAGGTCATAATTGGTCAGAAGTCACCGAACTGTGCAGTTGTGAAGCCCCAGGTTGAGCCCAGGCTTTCTGATTACTGTGGAATAGAAACAGACCAACTTTGTAACCATGATTCCACTAGACCAGGAATTAGGAGTGATAGCAACTTGACTCTAGCCCAGCCTTGGATAGGCAGTAAGAAGGCAGGTAGCTAGGTGTCAATTTGGGTCCAGTGCTTGTGGTACCAGATATTTACATGGCCAAGATCTCTGTCAAGTTCACCTCCAAGACTAAGTCCAAAGCTCTATCAGCTTGCCCAACAGCATTACTAAACAGATAAAAAATGCCAAATATCTTGGTAAGGGGGTGGTGGGGCTGGTATAATTGATTGTGTGTCCACTTTAGGAATAACAAGTCAGGCTGAACATACAGTCCACACTAATTGGTGGTAGCAGGAGGCATGGTGCTGTCACGGCACCATGTAGACAGCTCCAAGGGCTGATTTCCTGCAGGGACAATCATAATGGAATCTCTTCTCCTTTCTTGGTATGTTCCCTATGCAACTAGACAGGCAGCCTTTGGTGTGGTGCATTCTGAGGACACTAAAATACTGTCTTAGCTTCTTGGTTAAGTTTTTCTACACCCCTTTTAATAGGCTTGCTACAGTATCCCCATTTACCATTTTCACTGGTGCCCCAAGCTTCTAATCACCTTTTGATTCTATCTCCTGCTTCCTCGTTCTTTCCGAGTTGTCTAAGGAAGAGTCTTATCCTCTTAGCTGCTCATTGTCTGCTTATCTGGTAGTTGATTCAAATGCAACATTTGACCAATATTTCTGCTTATGTAGCAAAATGTATCATGTGCTGATCACGACAAGCATCCACTTATCTACACACACACACACACACACACACACACACACACACACACACACACACAGAGCTGTGTAGATGTGGAAAAATTAGATGGGAGACTTGTGCCAAATATTAATATCTATCAAAACTCAATGACATTCATAACAGTATCATATTGAAGGGATAGATCAAAATATAGAAAGAGCCTAGGAAAAGATTCAGAAATAAGAAAATTAGTTAAAAAAATAGCTGATATCATGGCTCAATGAGGAAACAACAACCATTGCATAAACGATAAGGGATCACTTACTGAAAATATCCATTGTCTATGTCATTCTCTACAGAAGAATATCAAATATGGACTGATGGATGATTTTTATAAAAGAGAAATTTTGAATACTAGGGAGAAGTCCTGTGAGAGTGTCCCTTTGGCCCTCACATCTGGTGCCACTTCAACCATAGAGGAGAGAAAAGACAAGAATGGTTTTCCCAGCTGGCTTAGAAAACTGAGAAAAGAAAGGTCACCTTTAGAGAAAAAGGTACACATGAATTCCAGACATCTGACAGTGAGGATGTCCCTTGGAACAACTCACTGTTGATGACACTTGCCATCCTTTCAGAAGTCATGCGCAGCCTGGGATGAGGCAACCTTCACATGTGGCAAGAGGTTACATTACCTGTAGTTTAAGAAACATCTTGGTTGTTCTTAGAGCAAACACTCATTTTTCAAGTATGCTTTTGAAGTAAAAAAAAATGCTAAAAATGAAAATGCCCATTGATGTAGGATATCCTGGGAGTGGAATGGACAGCCCATCAGAGTGCTCTTCCCACACTAGAGGTGTTTGACAGCTGCACTGAGCGACGGTGCAGAGCGCAGAGACAAGGACTCAGGGCACTCTGCCACCACAGGAGATAAGCCAAGCCCTTTAACACCAGGGACTGCTAAGGGCTTATTCCACACTCCCAGCGGCTAGATAAGCTGCTCTTCATGCCTTGCAGTACACCCCAGTCAGGAACACAGCTCAGGCAAAATCTAAGAGAGGCAACTAGGCACAGGCAATCATTTTAGGGATGAACATGAGCAAACTTCAAGTTGTTTGGATTTTAGTTACTGGAGGATCAGTCAAGAGCCTGTACTTCAGAAGGACTGGCGTTTGGAAGCATGTCATCACCACAGGACTTACACAGAGCCCGCCTGCCAGGTACTTTCCACTCAGTCCAGGTCCCAATGCCTAAAGTACAGTTTGTTTTCTCATTTTGCAGAAGCACCTGAAGCCCAATGGTTAGATGAAGTGACTAGGTGTTATGTTTGGAGAAAGTTGGAGTCACCCTTGCCACTAATTCCTCCTCATTCTCGAAACCACTTTCACTAGGCTGATAGTTCATAGGGCTGTTCTGATTATACACCTGGGTTAGATACATTAGAGGCCTCTCTGTACTGTCTGCTAAGATAATTTCCGTGAGGCTAAAGAACCCTCTGATCTTGCACTTCCTCATTCAGATTCAATTTCAAGTGTACCATTTCCACTTTAGAACACGCCGGGTGTGAGTCTACTCCTCCACCCCCTTTCTTTCCTTTCTTTCTTAAAAAGTACACTCATATTGTCTGAAGAATTCAGTGAAAACAAGTTTTGGAAGAACAGTGTGCCTCTTGACTTAGAGGAATTTCAGCAAGACCCTGTTCACAGAGCTACAGGGTCAAGACAAGCCACACTTATCATTATAGAAAGAAGAAAAGGCTAGTGACTTTATAAGAGATTCAGTCCAGGAAGATCAGCTTGTGCAGTCAGCACTGCAGCCTGAGGCTGTATCACCATAGAGGATATCACAAAGTAACCTCGATTCCCCATTTCCACACCCCCTAGGCAACAGTGTGATTAGAAAGCCTTAGGCTCTGAAAGCTGGAAAGAAAAGGAGAGGTCCACCTGGCTAGCCTCTAGCCCTGCACAGGAAGAGGGAAGCAGGAAGAGAAAAAAATGGGACCTGCCTTATCACTGGGCACCGAGTTCCTGCTGACTTTCACTGGACAAGTTTAAAAAGAAAGGATTCTCAGGGAAGGTCTTAAATAGTGGCCCAAGTGTGCAATCGGAGTTAAATACTGTGCATAGAGGAGAAAATTTCTGGAAACTATGGGCCGTTTTTTTTAAAAAAAAAACAAACCACAAACTATTATTTAAAGTGTCATTATGATGACAAACCCTTTGGTAGAAACAGCCTTCTGCGGGGAAAATGGGGGATCATAATGCCTTCTAAGCATTATTTGCCTGTCCCCTAAAGGTGAGGCTCTAAGGGTCAGACTCCTCTAATGTGATTTACAATCAGTCTGATTATGAAACAGTGTGAATGCAGACGGAGGTGATGAGGTGGATTATAGACAAAGGTCTTCAAGTAATCTGGTTTTGATTCAACTTATATTGTATGTGTCCAGAAAAATCAAAAATCACATATTTGATCCACCACAGTTACCCCCAAATTATTAGCAAATGGTCTATCATGGCTATGTTTAAGACTCGTCGTTAATTATTCCCGGGACTTGGAAGGGTTGGCATTGATAACAGTACCTAAGAGGAATTCTAGTGAATGATAACAGCAGAGCTCCTTATATAGGCAGCCAGGCAGCTAAACTGTGCGGAGTTACTCCATAACGTGTGTGTGTGGTAGGGGTCGACTCTATTCACAAAGATTTCTGCTGTTGCCTTGATCCTTCTATCTTGCTACTTGGCGGTTGTAGGCTTAGTAAGATGAAACCTTCCAGTGCAGTGTGTAGTAGAGCCAAATGGCCAGATCTGTGATAAAAATGATTCCAAATTTTGCTCCCAATCTATTATTCCAGACACGAGAGTGACCCTTGCATTGCGTGGTTGACATAGTTCTGAGTTGTATCAGCTTCCACTCGATAAGGTTAGAATGCCCGTCTTCTCAAATAACACAGACAACTTGAGGGCAGGAGTGTTTCCATTCATGTATCCCTGGAACCCATTAAGGAGGCTGGCATACAGAGGATGCTCTGTGGTCAATAAACACAGATGTGATGCAATACTGTCACTTGTTGATTTGCAATTTGTTCTGTAAAGTACCTTTGGAACCATCAACATTCCGTTCTTGCTGTTTCTCTTTAGACAGTGTTTTAGGAATGTTGGCCAATAAAATCAAAAACACCAATGACAGTTTATGCTGGAGAGGATGTGGAGAAAGATGAACACTCCTGCACTGCTGGTGGGAGTGCCAACTTGTACAGCCACTTTGGAAATCAGTATGGAGACTCCTCAGGAAAATGGGAATCAGTCTACCACAAGATCCAGCAATTCCACTCCTAGGCATATACCCAAAAGAAGCACATTCATACAACAAGGACATCTGTTCAGCCATGTTCATAGCAGCATTATTTGT